GAGATGGGGACAATTTATTCAGGATTCTAAGAAAACCAACTATATATGTCTGTTTGATTCGCCTCAGTAGGTATTGTTCAAACACTCAATAATTCATAAGCCCACTGACCTATCAAACGGTCGATAATTCATCACGGTCAATGGCTTTACATCGATAAAACCTCCTCCTTATTGGCATGCGGTGACTTATTAGCATGCAAGAAAAACAAGCCCTGAACCACCGTTTAGACTCTAAAGGATCACCCTTTGTGTGGAGTGTTTTTAAAGCCGTTCAAAAAACTCGCAGCATACGTTTCATCGGGTCTGAAACCCCTCGGCTGCGCCTCGTGGTTTTAAATCCGATAAAATCCTGCGTCTCGTTTTTTAAACGTTACATGAAAGTAGAATAAACTCCCCCGTTGTGGGGAACGTGAGTGCTTTTATTGTTATTGCCAGTGAAGTGCTGGTTGACGCTGCAGATCCTGAGTATTATTATATGTTGTTATTCATAAAATAAATCTTTGCAATTTTGGTGTAGTTCTTTGAAATATGCCGAGTCACATTTTTTCACACCTATTTTTTTATGCAATGTGCAAACCAGGTGAGGTAAAAGTAGAAAACATTAACAAAAATCGGGGTTGGAAGTGGAAAAATTGGATCATGCTTATTCAATTATTCCTTGCATTTGTTCCCGAGTCGTTCATTATGCATTTTAAATTCCAGCTCGATATTCACAATTCCTTTTTTTTTAAATTTTATTTCAATTTATATCAGCGATGCTAACGCAGTATAAGCTGTAATCTTTTAACTGGCTGAAGTAATAACAACGTAGAAGGATATTTTGGGACTATAATTAAAGATAGTTGCGTAGTTTTGATTCAGTCTAGCTTAGGAAGTCGAATTTTGAAGCAGTCCTGTGAATTAAGGAGTATGGTTTGCTTTGCTATCTCGGCTTACTGGAAAACTCGTTGCTTCTTTCAAAGGTGTTTTGAGCTGTAAAATAGGAAAACTAATCATATTTAAGGTTTGATTTAAGGCAGTTGCACCTTGAAGTCGACGTTCGCATATTGATTAGGGATCATTACTGCGTGAGTAAAAGAAGACCAGATAACTTGGATAGTTATGGAAGATATGCTTGCTTTCGACATTTCATTAGGAATTAAAACTAAATTAAAACTGAGGCCTTAAAGATCGAGCATTGATCCCTGAAGCAGCAGAGCAGCTTGGCGGCCTTTCTGGGCTGCGGCTCTGTAAAATTTTTTCTCCAGGTGTTTCAGTTAAGAACTTTAGGACTTAATGGAACTTGGGTAACTTAATGTAGGACTTAATGGAACTTTGGGAACTAAAACTTATAATTTAGGTTTGAAGCATTAAACAGTATTTTAATGTTTGACGCTAAATACTGTTTCGCTTAATCCTTAAACAGCGAAGCAACTAAGGCTCAGTTTAGGCTGTGGACTAGCGTTCCATCCAGGGGCGGGAGGGGAGTAGAAATGCTCCTGGTGGTTACATGCTACAGAAGTAAACCAGATATAACCACAGTCCTGATGGGCCGCTTGACTCGTGTGCAGACTCTTATGTAAAATCGTTATATGCCTTAAAATTCCACATTTACAATGGAGGCAGTCATTTTGCCTAAACAACAAGTACATCAATGAGAAAGGTAGATGCTTGAGTTTAACACATCAACATTGACAAAACCTTCAGCTTTTCCTTGATTCTTTCATAGTTTTTCTATGTTCTATTTTGCAGAAATTTCACTGTGCATAACATTATTTAACTGAACCTAAGATGTACCATTGTAATATCTAGGTTTCCATGCAGTATATACAATTCACCATTTCCTTTATCCAATTTTCAAATATTTACTATCATAAATGCAACCCAGTTACGCTTCCTAAAGCGTCTAGTTCTTAAAATAATCTAATGTCGGAGTATGTGAAGAAATTTGGACTATTCTAATTCTACATAATAAAATACTACAACATTAAGTCTTAAAGTTATACAAAATTAATGTACGCCTTTCGAAAAAAAGTCGCGTCTTCAACTGATTTGTAAAACAATCTAAGGGTTCACGTAATCGTATATTCTTCGGAAAGCTAAGGAGTTCCAAAGAGTTGGCGCAGATACCGAGAGAGATCTATAACCGTAACAATATAGATCATAGACTGAAATGATCAATTTCTGATCCATTGGGAAACTAAGATTGCGCTTAGGTACATAAATAGCTAAAAGATGGCGGTGGAATTTTATGGTGTTTCTCGAAGGGGCAAAGTCTAAATCTGAAATCTGAAACTGTATGAAAAGCGGAAATTTTAGTCTTATCCTGGCTCTCTCTCCCACTACATGCTTGCACTCACAGCAAGGTGCATGTGTCGTCTGCTTGTCGGATAAGAATTCCATATGCGCGCACATCGTCATTATCTTTTGGAGACAGCCAATAATCAGCTCCTACTCCAGTTTGCGAAGCACTGATGACTTTAAGGTGACCATTAGTATCAGGATTAACTCGATTCTGAAAAGCAATTTTGTACGTTTTCCCTTGGTACGAGAATTCCTTCGCATACAACCTTTCAACCATTTCAAGGCTTGGACTTGTGTAGATGCCAATACCAAACTTAGCTCCTGGCCCAGGTTTATAGCCCTCCTCCACGATCTTCTCTGCGCTTTTCATATCCGTTCCGTGATAAGACACAGGCCATTCTCCGCTTGCTTGGCTCGTTCGGATGCCATCAGGGCCAAGCCATTCGTCGTTTTCGTACCTTCCATGAGCCCTGACCGCAAATCGCTTCCAACCGTACGGTCGCTTGTACTCGAAGCCCCCTCTCATG